CTTCACTTGGAAGCATGGAGGAAATGATTCCTCTGTGTTGACCCTCCTCTTTGTAGACTGGACACTGATTCAAGTCCATCTCGTGGGATCTCCTCAGCCTTCTTGATCAAGAGGACAGGTGACCCACCACCATTATAGGACATTTTGAGAGATGCTCATAGTCCCCTGTAACTAGTCAACCTAGGAGGGCAAGGAGCAAAAACTGTCCTTTATGTCCCACTGACCAAATTAGTATAGGCCTCAAAGTATGTCTGTTAAACATCCAAGGTTAGTTGCACCAGTCTGGTACTTTTAATTACCATATACTATGTAAATAGAGCTTGGGCACCATCCTTAAATAAACCGTGACTACACATCCTTAGACTAGTTGACTAAGCTATGACCTTAGAAATTTTAAGATTTTCTGTATAGGTCCCCACCAGATCCCACGGTGCTATAGAAGTGTTCTACAATAAGAGCTACCCAGAGGAACCCCAGAACACAGAATTTAAAAGAATAATCATAAACATGATAAAATATCTCAGGGACCAGGCCTGGAGTGATGACTTAGGGGTTAAGAGCACTGGCTGCTTTTGCATAGAACCCCGGTTTGATTGCCAGCACCCACATGGTGGTCTGAAACTCCAGATCCAAGGGAATCTGATGCCCTCTTCACACTTCCACAGGCCCTGTACAACATGGATGCACTTACACACATGTAAACAATACATTCATACACATAAAAATAAATAAAATAAAATATTTTTTTAAAAAAATCTTTAATGTAGGACACCCTCCTTGACATGCCAGATATAAACATGAATAGGAACTGGTCCTTGACTCTGTAGAGCTCACCATTCAATGCTGTTAAGATGCTACCAGTTTTGTGAGGGAACAAGGACAAGTACATATACAATACCAATGTTACCACTTTTGTGAGATAAAACTAGAGTACAAGACCAACTGGTTCTATTCTTGGCCTTGTTCATTTCATAACATCAGCTAGGATGACTCAAACTTTCTTTCATGGGTCTGCCTATTCATTGGTCATGATTCTCAGAGTCATTCTCTTTCAATCTTCACTTTCCACTGAGTTCTAGACCTACATTTGCCATCATCGGCAAACATCTCCACCTTGGTGTCCCACAGGCATCTTAAATTCAGCGTCCAAAACCAAATTCGTTCTCTTGCTTCCCTAACCTCCATTTTCACTCATGTTCCCCTTCTTAGTTAATGGAATGACTGGTTATCCAGCTAGTTAGAAATCCTGGTATCCTGTTTGACTCATCTCTCTCAATTCCTTCTCAGAACTTTTCTATGGTGCCTGTTCTTCATTCCCCATTCTGGTTCAGAAACTCACACCATTTCACCTGTGCTTCTGTAGCAACCCCCATATCAATCCCTGTGCTCTGACCCTCCTCCCTCTAATGCTTCGCCAGCCAGGGATACAAAGCATGTTTCTAGTCTCTCTTGTACAAAACGTCATTTCAGGGGCTGGAGAGATGGTTCAGCAAGTAAGAGCACTGGGTGTTCTTGCAGAGGACCTGAATACCGTTCCCACCATCCACATGGTGGCTAAAAACTAACCATAACTCCAGTTTCAGGGGATTTGACACCCTCTTCTGGCCTCAGTGGGCTTTGCATGACATAGGCACACTTACATACATGGAGGCAAAATACTCATACACACAAAATAAAAAAAAACAAAATATTTCAAGTATCTGAAGATACTTCCCTTGGTATTTCAAAAGTCCTTTATCACCAGAACAAATCCTCTAACTATTCCTCACATAAAATTCAATAACCATTGGCTCATGAATGTTATAATCATCAAACTGTGAACCTCCATAATCTTTCCATCCCACCCCCATTCTTTGGACAGTCCAGAAATCAGGTAGCTTTCTTGATCTCAGATAAGAGAAGAATACCTAACAAAGAGGTCTACAGTATTTAACAACCAACCAATTAGGATTTTTAAGGCAATGAGAGTATTCTGAAAAAAATTTATAAAGGGTATCAAAATAAAATTTAGAAAGAGTATCAGAATTTTTCATTTTGTACTTGATGCACTTAGAGATTTTTCATAGATTGAAACCAATGCCATTAAATAAGTAACATAAATAGTATTGCCCAAACTTTTCCATAGCAAATTTATCACACTTTGAACATTTCTAATTAGTGTGGAGCAGAACAGAATTGTACATTTCCTTCAAATGTACTTGCTTAGATATGCTGCTTTTATGCAATGAGTTTTAATTTGCAGTGTCCCCAGTTTTCCTTCACAGTTCTTTTTGGAGTGACATTGATTTCTGTTCATCTTTCCTCACATCACTGGAGACTCTTGTCACCTGAGCCTTCTTTTCACCCATCAGCTGATGACCCCTTTTGGCCCTAAGAAAAGCATCCTTAACCCAAATTTGGATTTGAGCCAGAGGATTGTGTTTCAGGACGTTCTCATCTGGCAAGACTTTCCCTCTACTTCTCCCACATCTGCAGAACTAGGACGAAATTACTTAAAGTGGTTTTTACCTGGTCTCCTTTTCCTGCACAATTCTCTGCCAATGGCTGCCTTGGCCAAATAGCTCTATTCACATTTAGCTAACTGCAGGCTCAAATGAACTGCTTGTTCCTGCAAACTTGGCTATTAGGATTCTGTGATTAGGCAAAAATTTATCTTTTGGATTCTCTCTGATTTACAAAGCCACAGCAGATCTCAAGCTTATTTCCCTGTGTTCTTCTACAATGTAGTTATAAGCCTCTTACTTTCCTCGTTTTCCTTTAAATAGCTCATATTTCCATTCTTCTACAAGTCACGGCAGTTATACTTTATATATTGGCCCCAATGATTATGTTTAAGTCAGCCTTCTAACAAGGTAGACAATATTACCTTAGCACAATTTGTAAAATATAAGATTTAAGCATTAGAACAATTGTTTTGCCCAAGTCATGACATAGACTAAAACTTAAAATTCTTTTTAAAAAATTTTTATTATTTTTATTTTATGTGTTAGTGTATTGCCTGCATGTGTGTAAGTGCACCTGTATCGTGCAGTGCCTGTGGAGGTCAGAAGAGGGCATTAGATCCCTTATAACTAGAGTTAGGACTGTTGTTAGCCACCATGTGGGTGCTGGGAACTGAACCTGGGTCTTCTGCAAGAGCAGTCAGTGCTCTTAATTGTTTAGCCAACTCTCCAGCCCTAAAACTAAAAGTTCTAAATAGAAAATGCCACTTTATCCTTGAGTGTTGAATTTTTCACAAAGGGCAAAAATCAATCTTCAACTTCATTTTCCTTTCAAACAAAACACTCTCACATGTTCCCCCAAATTACTATCATCTGATTTTTGGAAGCTTCAAACAAACAAAAAAGGCAATTTCTTTTGAAAAATGGTTTCAAGTGTACATCCTCAATTACTTTTTCTTCTACAGTTGATTTAGTTTCTTTTCAAGTTCCAAGTAGTTTATTCCAAATTTATTACTCAACCAACATTTAAACAAACAAAATATGCACTCAGTTTTCAAGGTGATCATTTCCCACTATCATTCCTTCAATCTACGAGAGGGAAAGGAGCCGAAAGTAAGGGCCTTTTAGTTATAAAGAAGTCAGTATTAATATTAATAAGAATTAGATGTGCTTGCCTTGAGACTAACAGACACTTCCAATTAAACTAGCATGCCTCCTAAATAGCTCTTTTCATTGGATACCTTTCATTACTAGACTTTCCAGTTTATAGCTATCTTGCCTTATGATTATCTTAAGTGGAGACAACTGAATGAGAAAAGATTCCTGAGGTCTTCAAAGTTGCGTATACTCTAAAGAATTCTTAACTCTCTTTAGTCTCCACTATACTTCAAAGGCCTCTGGCATTTTCTTCAACACTTAGCACAGAAAAAGCAAGAAAAGAATTAGGGAAAAGGGAAAATCAGGGTTAAAGGTGAAAGTAGAGGGGCATAGCTAAAAAAAAAAACGAAGAAACTTTGTAGACAAAGCTCAGAACAAGGCTTCAGCTATGTCTCAGAAAGAGTATACTCTACAACAGGTTTGTCTGTGCACAAAGGATAAAGACCATGTATGCAACCTGCTGAGACACCCAGGGAGAAGAGAAATGAGGAAAGGAACACAATGCAAGCAGTCTAAAATGACAATATTGCCTCTGGTTTCACTTACCCAACACCAGCACTTCCACAGAGTCCTCATTTTTGCCTTCCAGGTCATCTGGGGTGGTGATGATACAGTAATAGAGTCCACTGTCTCCCCACATGAGCTTTCCAATTTGAAGATCTGCATCTGTTGTCACAAAAAGAACCCAGTTATAAAACTCTGACTTCTTGAAAAAAGGTATTGAACAATCACGGCTGAGAGGGGAGAGCCCTTCTTTGGTATCTACTGTGTTTCATTTATTTGCCTGGATGGTGGTTGAAAGATTTTGCTTTATTTCAAACACAATAATAAATACTGGCATCCTCAAGCAAGAGAATTAGAGCATAGTCACGATCCACTTTCAGGAGTAGTTGATGGTTTGAACCAGGCCTACAGAGGGCCCCGAGAATCAGATTATTTCCAGAGTAATTCTGGATTCTTAGAAATAAATTGAGTTCACAGAAATTCTTCAAAAAACTGAATAATCAAATAGGTCATAAGACTTGTGACCTTTCCTTATCTAAAGCTTAAGGGAACAGGAGAGAGGGTAGAATTGATTCAAAGCCCCTGGGATTCAGGCTATGAATCTTCCTGGCTCTGTGGGTTGTAATATGCATACATTCCTTCTCCTAGGAAAAGGAATTCTAAAGAAAGCGGACTTTTCAGACTTAGAAAAGGGCAGAAAAGGTAATGTGGAGGTATAGGATGCTGACTCATTTCAGTTAATTCTGAAAACAGCCTCTAAGATTCAAGATTAAGCTCCGAAATGCTATTCTAGAACTTATGTCTGTGTTCCCCACATACTATGCGGTTTATAATTCATCGACTTGCCAATCAAAGTAATATAGGTCTCTGGATGCTCCTGTTTCCTACATAATCAGATTCCCAAGGAACTGAAGGAGTGAGGCTGGCTTCCCTTTCTGTCTGGGAAAAAGAATGAACCCCCTCCCACTCCCTAGATTCAGAACAGGGGCATGAATACCATGAACAATCGTGATCTCTCTGCCCCTGTAGAAATCTCCCAGGGTAACAGTCGAGCCCTGTTTTGAAGCTACCACACGAACAGTTCTCCTGCTGTCCAAACAATCCAAGTAGGGGTCCCATTCCAGGTTCCTCTTGCTGAGAGATTGAGCCCTGGGAGAGGCCATGCCCAAGGATTCCCCCATGCGATCCTGGCAGTAGGACTTGAACTTCCACTGTACCACTGCAGGCTGATGGGAGGATGTGGAGAAGTGGCAACGAAGCACAGTGGGCTGGAAGAGCATGGCTACTTTCTTCTTGTCAGGTACAGTGACCTGAAGACCTTCAACCATGGCTGCAAAACAGAATGAACATGTCCAAGCAGTGTTCATATCATGGACCTCATCTCTCACTACATGATGTCTTCTTTCCTCACATCCTTATTCTGTTCCTCCCCCATTTTCTGCATTACAGTAAATGGCATCAGTGTCCATCTGAACACCCTGTCTAGAAACCTACCTGAACCCCCTATAGCCAGTCACTCCCTGGAACTAGAATTATGGATGGTTGTTAACCGCCATGTGGGTACTGAGAATCAAACCTGGGTCCTCTGCAAGAGCAGCCAGTGTTCTTAAACATTTATCCAACTCCTATGGCTGGTTCTTAAAATGCCTTCACTCATCCTTCATTACCTTCAGGCTAAAGCCCAAGATCCTTGGTGTCTTAGTTACTTTTCCTATTGCTCTGAAAAAATACCCTGACAAAAAAACTCGAGGGAGAAGGGTTTTTTTTGGATCACAGTTTAAGGTTATAGTTTATCATGGTTGATAAGTCACAGTGGCAAGAGCTAGAGGCAGATGGTCACACTGTATCCACAGTCAAGAAACAGAGGGATAAATGCTTATGCTCAACTCACTTCCTCCTTTTTATACAATCCAGGTTCCCAGCCCAGGGAACTGTGCCATCCACAATGCATTGGTCTTGCCACCTCGACTAACCTAATCAAGATAATTTCCACAGGCTTTCCCAGAGTTTGTCTCCCATGTGATTCTAGATTTCATCAAGTTGACAACTGAGATTAACTATCACATTTGGCAAAACATTCCAACAACCCATCATCTAGTGCCTCACTTTCAGCCTCACCTCTTTGAAGTGCTTGTATTTGAGCACCAAGCTCCAGGAATTTCAAACCACCACCAGTTTCTCTAAGTGAGGAATGTTATTCCACACATCTAGGTCTTTGCACATGGTATTCCTTGTTTCTGGACTGCTTCTCTTCACTTTCTTGGAAAATCCTTTTCCATCTTTCCAACTCCAATTCAAAGGCCTCTTATGAAGCCTTCTCTGACGAGTTTGTCACATTCCCCTTTTCTTGACAATCTCATCTACATATTGATTATAACAATTTTTTGAGTATTTCTTTTCATGCCTCTTCAGGAAAGGATAGTATATTATTTTGCTGTCCTGGATTATGAAACCCAGAGATGCTGAACAAATATTTGATAAATAATAACAATGAAGCCAGGAAGTATGGCTTCAAAAGGAAGTGACTTCCCTTCCAGCTGGTGACCAAGCAAAGGGGAAGGAAGAGATAAAGGAGTGTCCTAGTTTGTTCTTCATTGCTGTGACAAAATACTCCAACCACTACCAACTTGGGGAGGAAACAGTTTATTTAGCTTACATATTCTGGGTCACCGTTCATCCCGGAGCCCAAGGTAGGAACTCAGGGCAGGAACCTGGAGGCAGGAGCTGGAGCACAGGCCATGGAGGAATGCTACTGGCTTGCTCTCCTGGCCCCTGCTCAGCCTGCTTTCTTATGCAACACAGACCCACCTGCCCAGGGGTGGCACCACCCACAGTGGGCTGGGCCCTCCCATATCACTCATCAAGAAAATGCCTCTCAGACATGGCCACAGGCCAGTCCAATAGAGGAAATTCCCCAATTGAGGCTCCCTCAACCCAGGTGTGTCAAATTGACACTAAAGCTATCCAGCACAAGGAGAAAAGAAGTCTTTCTAAGAAAGGAAGATTTCAGATCAAAAGCAGTAGACTAAGTTGAAAAGCTTTGAAGAGTAATCAAAAGAAGAAGAGAAATTATTGCCAGGGAGATTCAATCTGAGGCTTGGTGAACAAGAAAAAAGGGAATTTTCAATGAATGAGAGACCAAGGGAGTTTGGGAGACAAAGGGCCTATGCGAACTCACTGGTAAGATCTAGAAAGTCTAAGTAATGAGAACATAACTTCCTCAGTTGAATGGGAGAGTCAGGAGTTTCTAACTTAGAAACTTCTGTTAGAAGCAAGAATTATGATGAGAGACAGAGGAAAGGAATATGATGAAATAGCAAAGAGGTTCTGAACTGAATGTAAGAGCACTCACCCACATAGCTCAAACACACACTACTTAGGAATATGCATCTTTCCTGAAGCGTGCTTGACAAGGGCAAGATACCAGATTTGTACTCACATCTCCTGATTTCCAGACCAGTATCTCTCCTCAATGAAAGGCACAGTGGAAAAAGCAGGTTCTAATTCCTGTTAGAAGAAAGTGATTTTGACTCTCTATAGAAACTGGAGTATTTGAGAGTGTTTTAGACCTACCATGTGCTTGGTAGCTACCTATGAATAAATAAAGGAATATGAGCAAATATGTGACTATTAATATGAGAATTTCAAGGACTTTGCAGAGGAAAGTTGTAAAATGAGTCATAGATAGCATAGCATAGTAAAATAACATTGGCACCAAATAGACAGGGCCTGGAATACCATCTGGCAACATACCAGTGGTAAGGCCTTAAAGGAGTCTGTTCAGTGATCTGAGATTCATTTTCCTCTCTACCTAGTGAGTTTTCCTATGAAAAAAACACATGGGCCTACCTTTGGAGAGCAGACTCAGTGAAGGATCACTACGGTAGATCTGAAACGCTGATCCTCCTTTACCTTCGCTATTTTTGTCCTCACTCCCTATTATGAAGTTCCTAAATCTCAATGGCCGTCCCCTACCACCAAGTTGAAAATAGTCACATTATTTAGATCAGCCTGATCAAAGGGCAAATAATTCCATCTGGAATCCATCTGGAAGCTCAGTTCCCAGGCTTCCCTTTACCACCTCCAAATTTTGATGTGGCTAATTCCATTCTCCCTGAGTCATATAGCTGCATTAGGAAAATACATTTCTTTATAGACTCTCCTTAAATTATACTGTATGAATTTTATGCTTATTTTTGGCCTTGTAATTCTTCAAATCTTTATTCATATCTCAATTTTTCAGGTGACATAAATGGAACAGAGGAGTGAAATGACTCAATTAACAGTGACTGAATTTGGATATCTAGGCACAGGCACCATTCCTACAACAGACCATGTACTTGACCATGTTAACTGTCTGCTCTACTCCCTGCTGAGGCTCTACTTGGGAAAATCACATTTCCTAGCCTTTCTAGGATAAATAAGATCAGCAAGGGAGAAAAGTGCTGCATAAAAGTGTTCTCGAGATTTTGAATGTTATTTACTCACTTCTTTAGAGAAAAAGTCAAGCTTGGGGTTTTGTTCATTAGATGGTTACTGAGAATAACCTCCTCATCAGCTCTGTTCTCTGTTAATGAGATTAGTCATTTGAAGAAGTCAAGCCATTGAACTCTCTTAGTCAATTATTAATAGAGATTTCTCTCTCTCTCTCTCTCTCACACACACACACACACAC